CTCCTCTTCTCTCTCTCTCTCTCTCTCTCTCTCTCTCTCTCTCTCTCTCTCTCTCTCTCTCTCTCTCTCTCTCTCCCTCCTTACCTTATATATATATATATATATATATATATATATATATATATATATATATATATATATATATATATATATATATATATTTCATATATATATATATAATATATATATGATATATATTATATATATGATATATATTATAAATATATATATATACACATACACACACATACACATATGTATACTGCCTTCTCTCTCTATCTCTCTTTCTCCCTTCCCTTCCCTTCCTTTTCTTTCCCTTCCCTCCTCTCTAGCCTCATCCTTTCCCTCTCTATCCTGATCCCTTCCCTCTCCCTCTCCCTCCCTATCTCTCTCTCTCACCCCTTCCGTTTTTTCCTCCCTGCCCCTCGCCTCGCCGGTGGCTCAGTTTCTCATCTTGCTCGTCGCTTTCTCTCGCTCTCCCTAAACTCTCCTTCACACCCTTAATGCGCTTGCAACATCTGTCTTCTAATAACCACATTGCAAGGGTATGAAAAAACAACAACAACGTGCTGTGTCCAGACCCCAAGCTGGCATGATGTTCTATAGTTATGGACGGCATAAAAGTACCTCCGGGTTAGTTCATTATGAACACTCCTGCTGAAAGTTTTAATTTGCAATGAACATTTCCGTAGCCTACGGGCAGTGTTGGAAAGCGATGAACATTTCCAGTGTTTCCAGGATACAGCTGCATCAATATACAGTCTCGGAGGGCTGTGCACGGTTTTATTGTTTTGAAGGGCTCTTGAGTATTGAGAACAGAGCCTGCCTACGCTGCTTTCCTGAAAAAAACAACAATATGTATTCTACGGTTTCGAAAAATACCGAGGGGGGGCTGTGGATGGAGGCGTACTGCTATGAACAGTTCTAGAATGATGAGAACAGTGCCAGACTGTTGTAACACCGACAACTCCGCTCGACCTTAAAGGTGATAGATTGAATTATTTCTCTTTGTTGGGATGGATTAAGCGCAGCCGACTCGGAATATCGTGACATATCAGACATCCTTTTAACATTACACGTTTTAACCTAAGACCAATTAAAACCTCGCAAAACAAAGAAAATGGGACGATGTTTCTCGTCCTTTTCTTTTCGGGATTTTCAGTTTTCTTTTCGGACCAATCTTCGGCACTCGAAATGAAAAAGTCAATACTCCTCAGCCATGTTTTATTCTGCAAGAACACTCCGCCCTTTCACAATGCTTCGCGCCTTCACAGCACTTTATTCCTCTAACAGAACTTAACTCTTTGACAGCGTGCGACACTTTTCACAATATTTTATTTTGTTGAAGCACTCCACGCTCCTTGACAAGCTTTTCCTCTTAAACAACACTTTACTTTTCAACGGCACTTTTCTCTCCCGGGACAAATTGTTCTCTGAAGGCAGTCGGCTAATTACCCACACTATACTGGTTAGCAGTACTTCCATCCGAGAACCGGCTGGCTGCTCGGCGGATAGTACGTTTGGCCCCCTGGCACTGCCCGATACCTCGTTCTTGGCACTTCATTCCTGATACTTAAATCCTGGCACTTCCTTCCTGATTCTTCGTTCTTGGCACTTCATTCAAGACACTTCATTCCTGATACATCATTCTTGGCATTTCATTCCTGATACTTAAATCCTGGCACTTCCTTCCTGATTTTTCATTCTTGGCAATTCATTCTTTGAACCTCATTCCTGATACTTCATTCACGACACTTCCTGATACTTCATTCTTGGCACTTCATTCATGGCACTTCCTGATACTTCATTCCTTGCTGATGCTTGGTTAACTAAACATAATGGCACTTCTTCATTGTCTTCGTGTGAAGTTTTTTTTTTTTACCAAGATGATTATGATTGTGGCTGTTATTGTTATCATTGTGACTGTTATTATCATCGTTGAGTGTCTGTAGTTTAATTATTATTAATGCTGTTATTACATACATTATTATCATTAACATTATCACATTAGTCATTAAATACATTAAGACCATTATTGGTTTTGTGTTATTTATGAAAATTTTATCATTATATCACTATTGTTGTTATCATTATCATCATTGCCATCTCTATTGCCACCACCATCCTTCGACTGTCATTGATTGACGACGAAAGGGCAAATAACAAAAGAAATAAAAGAGGAAGCAACGGAAGGCCTTAATTGTTGGAATTTTAACGAATTATATATACACATACATAAATATACACATATATACACATCCGCCCTCTTTTTTACTTTCTATATCTGCCTCTGCCTATTTCTATCTCTGTCTCTATCTCCTCTCCATTTACCTTATTTATGTAGATATGGGCGTATGTATGTAAACGAATGTGTGTGTGTGTGTGTCTTTGTGTGTGTCTTTGTGTGTGTCTTTGTGTGTGTGTGTGTGTGTGTGTGTGTGTGTGTGTGTGTGTGTGTGTGTGTGTGTGTGTGTGTGTGTGTGTGTGTGTGTGTGTGTGCGTGTGCGCGCGCGTTCGAGAGAGAGAGAGAGAGAGAGCGCGCGCGCGGGTGAGTATGTGTACGGAATAATATATATATTTTTTTCATTCCAGTTACCTGGATAAAAAAAATAATAATCATAGTACTCCTGATTACACATACGGAAAGAACAATACTGAACGCCGACAGATCGACATGTAAGCGAGGCCCAGAGTGCGTGTGTAATCGACCGGTTCCCTTCATCAGAATTTGGCCCAAAATATTGCTTTCCTCTTCGAAAAGGTTTGGCAGCGGTGTATGGCCACGGCGAGGGGAGGATGGGAGGGAGGGGTAAAGGAGAGGTATGGTAGGGGGAGAGGGTGTAGAGAAGGCTTAGGAGTAGGGAGTGGGGGGGGTAAGGGAAGGGAAGGGGGGGAGAGGAGAAAGGGGGGGAAAGGGGGGAGGGACTAGGGGAGGCACCAATAATGGCAGGGACTTGTTGCACCCTGGCACAGCACTCTCATATTGGAAAACCGTCTAGGAAGGTTCTCGCCAGACTAGACAATTTAAAGATGGCTTCTACGTTTAATGCTGTTGAACTCCCAACGGTTAGTTCCCTTCCCTTAACAATCACACGCTCATCCTCTCCTCCTCCCCCCCCCCTTCCGCTACTTTAATGAAACTTTACATCCCGTTTGATTTTAGATCTGTTTTTCTCTAGCAATCAGTAGTATATATCCTTTGTGCTCGCTGGAAGTAATTAAAAATCGTTGAGTGCAAAGATCGGGCACACTAATTTTTAACTTGGATATCAAACATTACTGAAAGACGAATCCTCTGAAGGCAAACACTAAGCTAAAGTAAAAAAAGACGTAAAGGTTTGTTATCAGGTTACTGTACATTGACCAAGTCAAGACCAGCCATTTTGAGCTTCCAGTGTCCCTGTGTAATTTCCTAGGATATTTGTTCAATGTGTGCGCATGTATGCGTATAAGTGTATATATATATATGTGTGTGTGTGTGTGTGTGTGTGTGTGTGTGTGTGTGTGTGTGTGTGTGTGTGTGTGTGTGTGTGTGTGTGTGTGTGTGTGCATATACATATACTTATACACATATATACATATATACACACATATGAGTGTGTATATATATGCATATGTATATCAGTGTGTGTGTGTGTGTGTGTGTGTGTGTGTGTGTGTGTGTGTGTGTGTGTGTGTGTGTGTGCGTGCGTGCGTGCGTGCGTGCGCGTGCGTGCGTGCGTGTGTGTGTGCGTGCGTGCGTGCCATGTTGACATTATGTAGATGACTGGGTTTTTATACTGGGGTGACTGACCAATGATCTTTCCGCAGGGAGTAGTTGTTTAGGTAATCATTGTTGGTTGTTCTCAACCGCACGCACATTGCGCGCATGTGTGTGAATATATATTCATATATATACATATATATATTCATATATATATATATATATATGCATATATATATACAAATATATACATATATATGCATACATATATGTAAATACAAATATGTGTGTGTGTGTGTGTGTGCGTGTGCGTGTGCGTGTGCGTGTGCGTGTGAGTGTGCGTGCGTGTGAGTGTGTGTGTGCGCGCATGTGTGCGTGTGCGCGTGCGTGTGTGCGCGTGCGTGTGTGCGTGTGCGTGTGCGTGTGTGTGCCTTTGTGTGTGCATGTGCGTATAAATAAAAAAAAAGCAACTCACAGAACAGAAATAATGGCCCTACACATAGGAGAATGCAACAGACAGATGGAAAGAAAAGAAACAAACAAATATGGAAAACTTTGACCATTTCCGTCCTATTGGATGTCCAGGGTTGATGACAAACAATAGTGACTGCCGGATGTGACTCAATGGACACCGGTAAAAGTGTATTTTCTTCAAACCAAGGGACGACTGACTGACTCTATTTGAAGTAATGATTAAAGCTGGAATGGCGACTTGAAAAGATACCATTTAATCCTCATGGTAATGGTAATATGTCGGTCTGAACAGCGGGACATTCATGAATGGTTTTGATGGTTGTGTGACTGTTTGTGTGTGTGTTCTGTGCATGCGTCGCTCTGTGCTTGTTTACATGAATAGCTGGCGATTGTTTACGTATAATGAATAAGAAGGCAAATAATATGAATTTCCGCTGAAGCACCGAGCGCAATGCAATATACATCAAATAAATAAGACGTAATCTGCAGGCATGCCACCACAGGCAATCCTTAATGTGTATAAATGGCATACTTCAGCGATTAAGCCCTCATATAGGCCTAATGAAAGTGTCCTGTTTGCGAAGGTCTCGCCACTAGGCCTAGCGTTTGTTGAGCCCTTAAAGAGTTGGGATGGATCTAGGCTTATCTCTGCCTCGGCGAATGGCTCCGGACGAGGGAAACTGATAGGGCCGAAAACCGAAGTCCTATCCCAGGCGGCTCTCACGGGCGGCCGGCGAGTCCATCGAGGGCGCTCACGGCCAGAGGCGCTCACGGCCGAATGGCGCTGAACGACCGGCGCCCGACTCACGTGATCGGCGTCGATTTAGAGGGAAGGGCCGGAAACTCCACTGCGAACGTACCTGGAAGAAAAAGGGATAATATTAATAAGATGCTCTAAGAGAGAGAGAGAGAGAGAGAGAGAGAGAGAGAGAGAGAGAGAGAGAGAGAGAGAGAGAGAGAGAGAGAGAGAGAGAGAGAGAGAGAGAAAGGATAAGGATAAGTCCGATATGCGAAGCTGAGCCTCGCCCGGGCTATGGGGGAGCCCGGCCTGTGCCGACTAATGTCGACTCGCTAACAGTGTGTCAGCAGGTGCTGACTCGGCAGAGCTTAGTCCTTACCCACCGTGGTGCCCAGCCACAGCAGTAACCTCCAGGCGACAATTGCAACTTCTCGCGCCTGGGCGGGGCGCGAACCGCCGACCCCTCGGATGAGAGGCCGACACGTTACCACTGTACTAGCCTGGAGGCTGAGAGAGAAAGAAGGAAAGAAAGCTAATGTGTATATATGCATGCATCTATGTATGCACTTCCATCCGCATCATTAACTCTAATGCCTCCCGACTCCCACTCGCCCACGACCTTCCCCAAGCCGAGAGTCGCTGGCTAGTGCAAGTACCGTACCAAACCACCACCTCCTCCTCCTCCTTGGAAGCTATCAACCCGTCTTTTAATGCTCTCTATCTCAAATCCATCTCCTCATTTTCCACGAGTCTCCCCCCCCCATCTCCTCCCTCCTCCCCTCTTCCCCTTCCCTCCTATCTCCCCCCAAACATCAGTTCCCAGGACACATATTGAGAGAAACAGAGTCCATTTTCCCCGAATCTCAGAGCTGCGCGCGAGTTCCCGGGGGTATAGG